CCGCCCCCGGCCCGGACAGCCCCGCCCACCCTGGCCCAGGCTCGGCTCCGGCCCCGCCCCTCGGAGTGTGTAGCTCAGGATTTTAGCCCCGGGTAGATCCCAATGGATCGACAAGGGAGTTCGCTGAAGCTCACACTGAGAGTGGTGACCCGGTAGACAGTCCCGGGACTCCTTCATCACCGACAAGGCCTGGGCGCTGGGCCTGGCCACTAATACCACAAGCAGCTGTGCACAGCTTCTCCCCAGGTCTTCCCTGTCGGTGAAATACCTTGCACTAGAGCAGTGACTTCATTTCACATATTTATTCGTTTATATATGGTAGTAGGTATTGCATTCAGGGAGCCAGGGCCCCAGTCTTTTTGCTTTTATCTTGCTTTTCTAATAGGGACTTGAACTGACTCCCAGGTTGGACTCAAACCATAATCTTCCTTGTCTCTACCTCCCAAGTAGCTGGAATTATAGGCATGAACTACTGTGCCCAGCCATATGTTAAAGAACAAGAGCTTTCCTGAGAAACTAACAAAAGCTACTGTCTTCTTCCTAAAAACAATAAAAACAAAAACAAAAGCTATCTAACCACTCCCAATTTGTAGACAAATCAGTCTCTCTCTGCTCCAAAGCCAGCCACTCTTTGACTTTTTTTTTTGTCTTTTGTCAGTTATGGGGCTTGAACTCTGGGCCTGAGCACTGTCCCTCAGCTCTTCAGCTCAAGGCTAGTGCTCTACCACTTGAGCCACAGCACCACTTCTGGTTTCCTGGTGGTTCATTGGAGATAGGAGTCTCACAACTTTCCTGCCCAGCCTGGCTGGATCCTCAGATCTCAACCTCCTTAGTACTCAGGATTACAGGCATGAGCCACTGGCTCACCTTTGCAGGCTTCACTCATGGATCCCTGGCCTGTATCATCTTCAAGAGCCTATTCACTGTAAAAATCCAAAATCCTTTTATACTCTGAGACAGAGAACTGATATCTCTTGTATGTAGCCCCATCCCCAGCCTCTGTGGCAGATAGCCTATAAGTCAGCGGGTTTCGATGACCTAGAAATGACAAACATTCCCAGAAGATTTAGACTATACAATCATTTAGAGGCATTCTCTGACCTGGGCCAGGCATGCCTGACTGGGACCGAATCTCTGTCCACCGGCTGGTGTTGGACACGAATGATGCACTGGAGATATACTGCTTGGCAGGGCCTTCATAGTCCACGATATCGTACTGACCAGGGCCTGGGAGAGGCGGCTTCGGGGGCAGAGGCAGAGGCTGAGCTGAGAAGTTCAGGATGGGATTCCGCCTTGGAAAAAGATAAAATAGGAAGATATCAGTATTATTGTCTACTGGAGAAACATGGAACCACAGCCAAGGCTCACTTGGGCTGAGGGGCTAGGGGAGACTTGCTCATGGACCTATGCAGAGCTGTTTCCACTGCTTGTGAACCTTTGGGACCCCTGGGGCTCAGTTTCCTCTCATGCCCAAGGGTGATCATAGCAGTACCTGCTTTGTAGCTTGTTGTCAGGGTTAAATAAGACAGTGTATTTGAATAAAACTGGGCACTCAGGACCAGTCCTGGCCCCCAGTGGGAGTTCATAGTATCTTCTAGCTGTTGAGCTAATCAGAATGCATTGATCACATCTACCAACTGGTAGTGCTTACCTGGTGGCCTTGGTGATTGACTTGTAATGTCTGCCATGGCCAGAGAAGGGCAAGAGTCATCCCACATGGGCAGGGTCCCTATCCCACAATGAGAAGATCTCTAAAGACCATTACAGCATTGGTGATCTGGAATCCTGCTAAAACACTGGGCTGGGAATGTAGTGGTCTCTGCATGATATTAACTACATCAACACTGGAACCAGTACTTGAGTCTAAATCTTCTAAGTGATTCATTCTGGGACTCCATTTTCCCACCTGTTAACTGAGGGAGTAGGATAAAATGACCTTTGGGGTCTCTTTCAACTCTGACCATGTATTGGGTCTTTCAACTCTGACCATGTATTGGGTCTTGATGCACAGGGCCCTAGATCACCAGGCATCCTTGGGGCTCTCGGGCACCCGGGCCCCTCGGCCACCACACAGCGGGAAGGGCTGCCTCACACCTAGAGCTTCTTCCTTCAAGGTTTCTCACCGAAAGGAGCTGGAAGCTTCTCAATGCACAGTGGCCCAGACAGCACGCCTCATTTCAGAGCCCAAAAGACGCACAATGATTCCTCCTCCCTTGACTGCTTTGGCCCACCTTTTTCTCAAACCCAAAGAGCCAGGGACCAAGAAGTCTACTGAAGCCCCCGTCACTGTGTGAGGGCGGGACTACAGGCTTGGAGGGGAGAACTCGCCCCACCGCAGTACCCAGGGAGGAACTGGATGTAGGATTCATCAGTAGCCTCCTTCCTCATAAACCAGCACTGCCTTCTCCGTGGTCTGGGTCTGGTACCCCTTCCCAAGCACCCCAGAAATTTGATAGGTGTATGACTGGTCTCCCTGACCAGTCTGAGGCTGGAATCGTCCTATGAAGTCACTGTCAGTCTGAGTCAGCCCATGATGCTAGCCCCCACTTTGTTCTTGATGAAAACCACGAGGTACCTGCTCCCCTGAGCATGGTCAACAAGCAGCGGAGCAGGCTAAGCCCCAGCCCTACCAGCACTCTCGGCCAAAGTGGGCTAGAGCAGCCCCTTCCTGCACTCCAGCACTGCTCAGCGCCCTCCTCCCAATGCTAGGGGTCCTCAGAGAACATGGGCCTACCAGGCATTCTTGGGAGTCCAGGCTGCTGTGTTCAAGGACACAGACCCGGATGTCCTCCGGGTGTCCATGGCCCCAGTGCAGATGCACTCCCCGACAGCTCTGCGTCTGGATGTCCCTTCCTCATTCCTTGTGTCCCTGGCTTCCCTAAGCCTGTTCCTTTGTAAAATGCCAGACACCAGTGGCTCATACCTGTTATCCTAGCTACTCAGGAGGCTGAGATCTGAGGATTATGGTTCAAAGCCAGCCTGGACAGGAAAGTCTATGAGACTCTTATCTCCATCAGAAAACTGGAAGTGGTGCTGTGGCTCAAGTGGTAGAGCACTCACCTTGAGCTGAAGAGCTGAAGGACAGCGCCCAGGTCCAGAGTTCAAGCCCCATGACCAATAACAACAACAACAACAACAAAAATGGTGGGTGGTGGGACCTGGGATGGTCAGGGAGATGAGCAGCTTGCCCCGTGTTACTCTCTTCACAGGGCTTCTGTTGGCAGAGAGTTTAAGACTCTGCACTGAGAGTACACAGGGACCAATTCCTGGTGGGCAATTGTGGAAATCTACCCTGGAAGGGCCAGCAGGCAAGAAAGGGCATAGTAGGGACACCGTGGGGAAAGAGGGAGCCCCATAGGAAGGGAGGACAGACAGACACCAGGAGACAGACGCCCGGCCCCTCTGACGCCTTCAGCCTCCAGCCCCCTGTCACCTGTGGGATGGTCAAGTCCCCCCATCTCTACCACAGAAAGCTCCTGTGTGGCCACTCCATGAAGCCTAGTTGCCTGACCTGCCCCCACATCCCCTTCTAGGGCCAAGAAGCCCTTCCTCCACTCTTTCACCACCCCTGCAGGGACCCTCCATGGGTGACCTCTGGAGGGAGATGGACCCAGTGTGGTCACTACTGGTGAGGTGACCAGAGGGGGCCCCTGTGAAGGCTCTGGTCCCATAGCACATATTTCCATGCTTTCTTGTGTGTGTGTGTGTGTGTGTGTTGGTCGTGGGGCCTGAATCCTGGGTCTGGACGCTGTCCCTCAGCTCTTCAGCTCAAGGCTAGCACTCTACCACTTGAGCCACAGCACTACTTCCGGCTTTTTCTGTTTATGTGGTGCTGAGGAATCGAACCCAGGGCCTCATACATGCAAGGCAAGCGCTCTACCACTGAGCCACCTTCCCAGCCCCAGATTTCCACACTCTCTGTGTGAAGCCAGCAGGGTCCCAGACGCCGCTGGCCCTCATGCGGGGCTGATGGCTGGTGTCCCAGTAGGAGCCAGAAGCTCAGGGGCAGTCAGACAAAAAGTCAGACAGACAAAAAAGCCAGCAGCTCAGGGGCACTGTGACCCGGAAGTCTTCTCCAGGATGCGGCTGCTGAGTGACAAAGGGCAAAGTCAGCCCTGCCCCAAGGAAGCAAAGCATCCATCAAAGGCTCAGATTTGACCCACTGGGGTTAAGGGTGTTGGAAGCTTCCAGTAAACATCCTGGGGGAGTTACACTCTCCCAGACACAGGATCCCTATGGGGAGGGGGTTCCCAGGCCTGGGGGGGGGCGGGTGGTGGAAATAAAGGCAGCTGACCAGCAGGGAGGGGATGTAGTATCTGGTCCTGGGTGGGTGGTGGGTGACAGATGACTTTTCTTGGGAAGCTGCATCCCCTGCCTTGCTTGTAATTAGTCTGCGGGAGCAGGGACTGTGAGGGTGTGAGATATGATGTAATTGCCAGAGTTGGAGCCCAGCCCGGGCCTTGATCCTGGGGCTCCAGCTGTGACAGGACAGCAAGCCTGTGCAAACCCAGTGGCTTAAACCTCCAGGAAGTGGATGAAGGGCGTTTCTTGTCCTGGCTGCGAGAGCGAGTCGGAGGGCCGAGCTGGGAGGGCCTGCCATCTGCAAAGCCCTGAGCAGGACTCGCCCTCCGCCTCTGAGTCACCACGGCGGGTCCCGGGGACCTGCAGGGCCTCCACAAGGGAAAGCTTGTGACACTCGCTCCGCTTCTAAAGACACCGTGGAAGCCCGTAAATCCTCTCTGCTCTGAGTCAGTGCGGTGGCCGAAGCCCGGCCACGGGGTACAGAGCCAGGCCCCGGCACAGCACCTGACCTCCCAGGTCCCTGGCCGGGTCTGAGTGAGGGTGACCGCGGGCACAGCCGCCCTCCGAAGCTGGACACCCGGGCACAGGGGCCTCGCTGCCCTGCACAAACATGAAGTCTGGAGGCAGACGCCCTCCAGGCCGGCGACAGCGTCTTCATCATTCCCTTCATCATTTGGCCTACAAGGGCAGATGCGTCTCTTTCTTGTAGTCCACAGTGTCATGTTCTTGCTTTGTCAGTAAAGCCTGGGGTTCCTCCGCTTCCTCTTTTCCATGTATTTTGTCTTGTTTTCCCGAGATGGGGATCTTGCTTCGTAACCCTTAAAGATTCTCCCGCCTCTGCCTCCCGAGGGCTGCAATTTGTACAGAGGTGCACTGCCATAAACAGCTCCGGTTCCATTTTGAAATGTGCATTGTGCACTTCCCCCTCTCCCCGCCCCCCCCCGCCCCATCAGTGGTCCAGGCTGGCTCTGATGACTTCTCTGTGACAAGTGTCAGGGTCCTGAGAGCAAAGAACCTGAGCTAGGAGACACTGGGTCTCACAGCACCCTCTCCTGCAGGCCTTGTCAGGTCCTTTAATGTGCCAGACCCCCACCCCCAGCCCACCCCAGGGACTGTGGATAGTATACCACAGCCCCCAGCCATTCTACCAGGATCTCTTCATTCCAGATGGCTCAAAAAGGCCATGCCACTGCACTGTCCCACCCGGTACCCCTGGGCTGTCTGTGGCGAGGACCTGGGGCCTGTATGAGCCAGCACTGCTGCCTGCTTTCCTGAGGTCGGTCCTGGATGGGCCTGGCTCAGAGGTTGGGTGCCCCGCTGACCTGAGGCTTCCAGTGTCCAGCTGTGACCCAGGACGCCAAAGGGCAGCTGACGGGACTGTCAGCACCGTGACAATGACCGCCACTGCTCCTCCAAACTGAGCAAAGGCCAAAAAGCCATTTCTCTTGGAAAAACTGTAAGAACTTGAGTGTGGTCCACTCTCCTACCCAGTTTCAAAGTTTCCTTGACGAAGTTTCCAGAGTCAGACTCAAGTCCCACCAGTCCATGTCTTAATACATCCACAGCCAATGGAGTGATGTCAGCTATACTAAGAATAATAACTAGAAGTCTGGGGGGGGGGGGGGAGATCACAGGTGTGAGTGACCAGCAGCCTGGCTTGTCTCCACTTTTATTTTTTTTTAAGCTGAGTTAATATTAAGTCACCATTTGGCCCTACTGTGCACCTAAATATAATTTTAATTCTGAAAGCAACCTTACGAGACACAAATAGCTCACACTTTTACTTTACGTGGGTAGAAGGTTCAGAAAGGTTTGCCCATGACCCAAGATCGCACAGCATAAAAACAGCAGAGCCAATAGGACTCATTCACACCCAGTGAGACCAAAGGAAGACTCTCTTAGGGGAGGAGCACAAAGGTGCAAAGCCTCTGTGTGTCTGATCATATAAAATAATATCTATCAAAATGAACTCCAGGAAGAGGAAACAAGAGGTTTGTTCTCTGTTGTTGTTGTTTTCTTTTTGTCTTGTTTGGTAGTTTATCTGTCTTGGGAGGGGGACGGGAGGGGGAACAAATGCAGCAGTGGTCCTCACTAGACACTGTGCTGAAAATGAACTCTACAACTTGTGGATGGGGCCAGGAGGGAAAAACTGAGCATGAGGGAAGAGGTGACATTGTCCAAAAAGGAAATGCATCCATCACCCGACTGGTGTAACTGTACCACCACCTTTACAAGAACAATTTAAAAATATTTACAGACTGGAAGCGAAGCTGCGGTTCCAAGTAGTAGAGCACTAACCTTGGGTGAAAGAGCTCAGGGACAGCGCCCAGGCCCCAAGTTCAAGCCCCACGACCAACCAAGAAAAAAAATTACAAAAAAATAACAGAAATGGTGTTGTAATATGTTTGTAACTTTAACTACGTATCACTATCCTATTATACTGTGAAATTTATGTAATCATTTAATCTCAGTAAGACATTAGTATAAAAAAAAGAAGTGGTACTGTGTCTCCAAGTGGTAGAGCACCAGCCTTGAGCAAAAGAGCTGAGGGACAGTGCCCAGGCCCTGAGTTCAAGACCCATGACTGACAAATACATTTATCAGAGCCAGAGTTTTGGTCCAGCAGGTGTGATCAGCCTCCCTGGTTCTGTGTGTCCTGTCAGACTGGTTAGAACAGTGGAACAAGGCCAGCGCCCACCAAGTGCAGATTCATGATGACTTGAGAAACTTCCAGACAGTCCTCAGCAGGGTCCTGGGGAGCCTAAGTTAGCTGTGTGGACTCAGGAAAACCCCTCTGCTTTTTCCTCTATCAAGTAAGAGTAAGTATTCCTACAGCAGGGCTCATAGGATAATTAGGCGAACCTTTAAGTTCCTAGCACACAGCGGTCTTCAATCAACACCATGTATTCACCAAGTATTAACTGAGCACCTATTACATGCTCTGGGCCCCAAGAGTTTGGTAGAACAAGTGAAATCCCTCCTCATTCTGTCCAGGCACTGACTGGCCAAAAAACAAACAAAGGAGGAGGGAGGAGGAGGAAGAGGAAGAGGAGGAGGAGGAATAATAATAATAATAGTAATCAGGACTCACGGAATCTGGGCTTTTTTCAGAACTTTGGTGTGCTCATTCGGGTTGTAATAGCCAGGCCCCGGGCCTGAGGCGTGCAGCTTGACTCCACGATCAGTTTTCGATTTGAAACAAGACATTAAAGTCTTGGGCGACTCCTTCACAAGGGACTCGTTGACATTGTAATGCCCTAAACAGAAAGAAACAGGAGCACGGAATGAGGGGCTCTGCTTAGCTTCCTCCCCTCCCCACACATCCAAGGCCGCCTTGGCTAGGGGGCAGCCTCCCTGAGGAGGCCCAGGGTGCAGAGGGCTGAGCCGGGGGATGGGGGGAATGAGGGGAGACAGAAGGCCAGGGGAGACTCAAAGTCGCATTCCCTGTGGTGGGGATGCAGGCTGTGTCTGCGGGTGCCCGTGGCTGGCACCCCCTCCATTCTCCACACAGGGCACTAAATAGTTATTAATGCCAGAGGCTGTGCACCAACCAAGGACAGGACGGGGCTCAGCTGGGCCCAGCGGCCGGTCCCACACGCACCACAGCCACCCTCCAGGCCACGCCGCGTGGTAGGAAGTGGGAGGCGTTCTTGGACACCATGCGGATGGATGTCGCCCAAGTGACAAGTAATTATGGTAAAGGGAAAGTTCCAGATGCCAGGCCACACACAGCAGTAGCTGTGGGCAGTGCCAATGCCTGATGCCCACGTCGCAAGGCAGGGCTGTGGGAGGGGTGGCTAAGCGGGAAGCCTGCAGGCCGTGAGACAGAGCAGGAAATTAAAACCCAAAGGTCAGTGTGCCAGAGGACACAGCTGGGTTAAAGCAGACTGGAATCCAGAAACATCCATCATACACACATGCATGTGTGTACATACACACACGCGTGTGTGCACATATACACATACATTTTAAAATGGCATGTGTGCATGCAGAAAACTAGAACCTTTGGGGGAAATAATGGCACTGTGAGTGAGGAAAGTATTTCCAGTTTTCTAAACTTTATACATTTACTTTTTATTGTTCTCAGTCGAGTTTGCTTCTCCATTACAAAGTACAAGATGGGGGTCAGAGCAGCGGGGCATCCTGGCGGGGGGGGGGCGGCGGTGTGAAGGAAGGAGATGCAGAAGAAGAATCACTCTGTGCTGAGGGGCAGTTTAGTAACAAACATCAAAACCTTAGGTATTAGCCGGGTGCTGGTGGCTCACACCTGTAATCCTAGCTACTCAGGAGACTGAGATCTGAGCATCATAATTCAAAACCAGCTCAGGTAGGAAAAGCTTGTGATATTCTTATCTCTAAGCACCAAAAAACCAGGGGTAGAGCAGAGACTCAAGTGGTAGAGTGCCAGCCTTGAGTGAAAAGCTCAGGGTAAGAAAAAACAGGGGGGCTGGGGAGGCGGCTCAGTGGTAGAGTGCTTGCCTTGCATGCATGAGGCCCTGGGTTTGATTCCTTAGCACCACATAAGCAAAAAGAAAAAAAGCCAGAAGAGGCGCTGTGGCTCAAGTGGTAGAGCGCTAGCCTTGAGCTGAAGAGCTGAGGGACAGCGCCCAGGCCCAGAGTTCAGGCCCCACGACCCAAAAAAAAATACTCATTACCTGACTTATATAACTGTAATCCTGCTGATGTCTCCTATAGAATAACAATTAAAAAAAAAAAGTTCAGGGACAGCACCCAGGCCCTGAGTTCAAGCCCCAAAACGAGAAAAAAAAATCTTTAGATATTTATAAACCTGGACTAGGAAGGTGGCTCAGGGGTAGAGTGCTTGCCTTGCATGTATGAGGCCCTGGGTTCAATTCCTCAGCACCACATAAGCAGAAAAAGCTGGAAGTGGTACTGTGGCTCAAGTGGTAGAGCGCTAGCCTTGAGCTGAAGAGCTGAGGGACAGCGCCCAGGCCAAGTTCAGGCCTCACGACCGACCCAAAAAAAATTTTTTTAAATGAATAAACCTATGCCTTAGCAATTCCACTTGAAGAAATTTACATAAAAATTATTGTAGCTGCAGTGGGGATCGAACCCAGGTCCTTGCACACGCTAGGCCAGTGCTCCACTGAGTTACCTATCTCTAGCAGAAAGTCACCTTTTGTTTTTCTCTCCTAATTTTTCCTAGTACTGAAAATTGAACCCATACTCATAGGCCTCATACTCATAGGCAAACACTTTCCCTCTTGAGCCCGGCCTCCAGCTCAGGAAGTAATCTGAATCATGCTAGCCGCCAGGAATGCTGCCCTGGCGACATCTACACACAAGAGTGCTCAACTTGAAACCACCTGATTTCTAGGGAGATGACACTCATTCCCTGATTTATGCACTCACCACAGGATAGAATACTATGCAGCCACTAAAAATGATGTTTTGGAAAGATTTTCAACACGGTGAAAATATATGCTTAAATTTTTAATGCCAGATGTCTACATCCTTGACAATATTGGCCCATGCTCTTTCATAGATCAATATATTTCAAAAACCTATTTTATATATGCCAGAAAATAAACATATACATATATATTGGGGGTTTGAAGTAGCAAGTGTGGATCTGGATGCGTCTGGATTGCAATCTAGCCTGTGGGACCCTGGGCTATGATCTGCATAAAGTCATAGGGGAACATGGGGTGCTCCACGGGGGGGGGGAGGGGAAAGGGGAGGCAGGGGGGGAGCCACTTGAAAGGGCCAACACCCACACAGCCCTGGCACAGAGCGAGGCTGGGCAGGTGCCAGGAATCCCCTCCCGCTCCTGCTTTGTCAGGGTCGCTGGGGGCCCTCAGGGTCCAGGAGCAGGCCCCTGTGGCTAGTGCAGGGTGCACACATTTCAGGCCTCTGCTCTCCTGTAGAAGCAAACCAAGGAGGAGGGGCTGTGGGCGGACGATGCATGGTGGGCGGTGGCTGAACCCCAGGCTGAGCCGCTCAAGCTGTTTTTGTTTCTCAGCCTCACTGGGATCCTCTCAACTTTAATCAGTCACAGTTTTCCCCACGCCCTTGTGATGGCCTGGGAAGCCCAGGCTCTGGGGCAGGCAGGGGTGAAGCAGAAGGGTCTTCAGGGCCTCCTGGGCCAGAGAACAGGCCACGGGCTCCAGCTTGAACGCCTAGCAGCCCAGGTGGCCCACACTTCCCCAGCCCCAGCCCACGGGCACCTGCTGGCTCTGATCTGGCCCAGTGACGGGTGGGAGCTGCCACCTCCTCGGAAAACCAGGGCTGAGGGCGTGGGCCTGGGAGGGCGAGGCTGGGTGAGTGGGAACGAGGTGGAGAGCCTCTGTGTGGGGAGACCGGGCTGGGCCCCATCCAAGCACCTGGCTGTGTGGTCATCCCAGCTACAACACACACAGGCATGCACCCACAGGCATGCACACGCATGCACACATGTGCATGCACACATGCACACGCACACACAAGCCCTTCAGCAGCCTGGGATGGGGCATAGAATTTGTACCCTTTGGACCTGGGAGGTGGGGTGAGGTTCCCTGGGGGGGAACCCTCAGCTGCTGCTCCCCCTCCTCCCCTTCCTCCCCCTCCTCCCCTTCCTCCCCTTCCTCTTTGTCCCTCTCCTTCCTCCCAAAGCCCAGCTCTGGGAAGCTCAGCGCTCAGCAGCAGGCAGCTTACCTGGGGCCGGTGCCCGTCTAGCAATGTGGAAAAATTCTCTTGGTGTTTTTGACATAAACCCCGCCCGGGCAGAGACATTGTTTTTCTGCCTGCAGCAGGCGATGGAGGCCTGGGGGAGACAGAGAAGGGGAGAGAAAAACATACAGGTGGACCCAGGGCCGCCCCTGCGTGTCTAGGTCACACTGTGTTTGAGTGAGTGGTAAATTAGGGCCAGAAAAAAAAAAAAGAAAGAAAGAAAGAAAGCCAGGCGCTGGTGGCTCCCACCTGTCATCCTAGCTACTCAGGAGGCTGAGAGCTAAGGATCACGGTTCAAAGCCAGCCTAGGCAGGAAAGTCCATGAGACTCTTATTTCCAATTAACCACCAGAAAGTTGGAAGTGGTGCTCAGCTCTTCAGCTCAAAGCTAGCACTCTACCACTTGAGCCACAGCGCCACTTCGGGCTTTTTCTGCTTATGTGGTGCTGAGGAATCGAACCCAGGGCCCCATGCATGCAAGGCAAGCACTCTACCACTAAGCCACCTTCCCAGCCCTCACCTCTCTTTCTGACATGAGCTACAAAGGTCTTTGGGCAGTGCCTTATGCCACTGCCCCTGCCCAAGTGATCTGGGATCCACTCCCCAAGGGAAGGCCCAGTGATCCCTGTGGCTGGAGGACAGCACCCAGACACTAAACCAGATTCCCTGGCCTCGGCTGAGGCCAGACTGTGTGGCCGAAACCCAGGCTTTTAGCCTTTTTGAACCTGCATTTTCTCATCTGTAAGAGGGAGCCTGTGGCCTTCAGGCTGCAGGGCACAGGCAGGCAGGGTGCTCCATAGAAGTCGCCCAAGGAAGGTGGGTGGAGCTTTGCTCATGGGTAATGCTAGGCACACAAATTATCTTCTTTACCTTTTCTTTTCTTTTGGGTGGTACGGAGGATTGAATTTAGGACCTCATGCTTGCTAAGCTGGCATTAAGCCACACCTCTAACCCCTTTTGGCTTTTGGTTGTGATCAAGGGAAGGTCTTGCTTTACGCCCAGGGTCAGCCTGAGCTGTGATCCTCCTGTTTGTGCTTTCCTGTGTTGCAGGGAAAGACTGGAGCGTAGCACTGTGTAACTGGGATGGTAGGCACCTAGCCATTGGTTGTGATGGAGTCCTGTGAACTTTTATGCCCAGCTGGCCTCAAACCATGATCCCCCCATCTCTACCTCCCAAGTGGGTAGGATTACAGGCTTGAGCTGTTGTGCTTAACCGTTTTATTTTTCCATTATTTCTGACCCCCCTGACCCTACCCTGACCTCCCCCCAGCTGCATTCCTCAACTGTTTAAACAGTCCTATCAACGTGGCATCGGGCACACACAGGAGAGAGCCACCGTGTTTAAGATTGGCATCAGAGTTGCAAGCGCTTCCTTGTCTCTAGAAAATAAAATTTCTGGCCAGTCCACACAATATACATTTGCGAGAACATTCGTCGTTGCACTCAGAACTCTAAAAATAGTAGAGGGGAAAAAAAATAAATAAACCGCTGGGATTGTTCTTCTGTTCCACATGAATCACTATAAATATTTCAAATGCCAGCTTGCAGGCCGCCTCCGGTCCCCATTAGATAACAGAGGTAATAAAATGTGTGCTCTGCTCCCTGCCAGTATTTACTGAATGAGGGAAACTATTTGATAGAACCAGGAGGGTTTGCTTTTTTTTTTTTTTCTTTTTCCCTGTGATACTCTTTGGTTAAAAAAAAAAGTTTCTTGAGAAATGCAGATGGCATTTTGATTCTGTATTGACAAAGGTGGAGGAATTTGGTTTTTCCCAGGGTGCAGGGAGACAGACCAGGCTGCACGCAGAGAGGGCAAATAAAGAGGCCAGATGGACAGGCTAATTACTGGACGGGAGCACAGCCAGGTCGCAGGCAATAATCACCCAATGCCGGGGACACTCCCAGGGCTCTGAGTAGGATGGGGGCCCTGGTGGGGGGGGCCAGGGGGAGGGGGAGGCGGCTAGGCATCCAGAGCTCAGAGCAGCCAGCGGTGTGGCTAACAGGATTAGGCCTCTACCCCTGGCTGGCTGATGCTGCCCTGGCTCTCCCGCTGTGATGGGGGTGGGGAGGGGGACTGCTTGCAGACAAAACAGGATCTCAGCTTTATTCTCCACCTCTGGGAAAGGGGGCGGGGTCGGTTGCACACTGCCGTTCCGGGCCATCTGGGGGTGGGGGGAAGGGGAAGGCATCGTTAGGCAGCTACACCTGGATGGGGACTGGGAGGGGAGAGGGCAAACTGACGGGAGGGAGGGGCATTTAGACCCTGAAAGAAATCACACCTGGCTCTCGAAGCAAGTCTATGAAGGATTTCTGTTATCTACCCCTGGGACATGTTTTCTGATGAACTGCGTTACTTTTAGGATCATACTAAAATTTTTTTTAAAACCCCAAACACTAAAATTGATTTATTGGCAGAAGTGTACAACTCTCTCTCTCCCTCTCCCTCCCACCCTGCCTCTCTCCCTCCCTCCCTCCCTGTTGTGAGGCTTGAACTCTAGGTCTGGGCACTATCCCTCAGTTCTTCAGTTCAAGGCTAGCACTCTACCACCTGAGCCACAGAGCCACTTCTGGTTTTCTGGTGGTTTATTGGAGATAAAAGTCTCACCGACATTCCTGCCTGGGCTGGCTTTGAACTGTGATCCTCAGATCTCAGCCTCCTGAGTAGCTAGGATTACAGGCGTGAACCACCAGTGCCCAGCTTCTCTCTCTCTTTCCTTCTTTCTAGCAGTACTGGGTTTGAATTCAGGGCCTCCAGCTTGCTTCACTTTGTTGTTTGGCTGATGTCCTACTACTTGGGCCATGCCTCCAGCCTGGGTTTTGTTTAGTTTTGTTTTTAATCAAAGATGGGAGTCTCACAGACTTTTTTTTTGCCCAGGCTGACCTCAAAACATGATCCTCCAGATCTCAGCCTTCAGAGTTGGTAGGATTACAAGGGTAAGCCATTGGTGCCAAGCTCAGCAGCACAAAACTCTGACTTGGACAGTGGCCATTTCTACAGGGTAAGGCATCTCTCCCTGGCTGGCAGCACCCAGGGACCACTGCTGGACACCAGGGATGCCCTACAGAGCACACAGGACTGGGGGAGGGTGGGTGGCACCCTTCCTGCCTGTTTATCTCCCGGGGACCCTCAAATGGCAGAGGTGCAGCGGCCCTGCATCTCCATTACTGCTTTCTCGGGCCACACTGTCCCGTGGACAGCCTCTTTGCTGAGCTCCCTGAGCCTGATCAAAACCCAGGCTTCCATCATTCCCCTTATAATCGGTGTGCCAGCAATGGGGCGTGAACACAGGGCCCTGACCTTCCACTTGGCTTTTTCCGCTCAAGTCTGGTGCTCTACCACTTGAGCCACACCTCCACTTCTGGCTTTTTGGTAGTTACTTGGAGATAAGAGTCTCACAGACTTGTCTGCCTGGGCTGGCTTCGGACCTCGCTCCTCAAATCTCAGCTTCCTGAGTAGCTAGGATTGCAGGCAGGAGCCACCACAACTAAGCCCAGGAGCTGTTTTTTGAAAGTAAGGTACCTCACGCCCACTTCCACCAAGGACACAGCTCCATCTCCTTCCCTAGGGTCTTCAGGAACAGGCCTGCCTGGCCTACCCTTCTCCTACCGCCTTATACTCCAGCCCTATTTTCTTCTGAGCTAAGCTCCTTGTTGTCCCAGGACCTTTGCACATGCGAGTCCTTCCACTTTTTCCTCAGTCATTGGGTCTCAGCCTCTGAGGCTTCTCTGCCCACCAAGGGCATGGTACTGCCAACCTCTGGTGCCCCTACATGAGCTGTCTCGGGCTTCGAAGGTTTGTCTCCTTCAGAGCTGACCGCCGTTGGTTTGCTCCTTCACTGGCTTTTGTCTAAGCAGATCTGCCAGTGGTCCACAGGGCCAGGTCAGCGTGACCCCTCCCCCAGCTTCCCACCCGACCACCAAGGCAAATGACGCCACCCAGCTGGCCGTGTGAGGCCACGCCTCCTCTCCCATGAGAGCGGGAATCAGAGTCCACGCCATGGATGCTTGAGGGTATTAAGGGTGATGAATAAACCAGCGCCTGATTCCTGAGAAGCATATCACTATTATCATCATCACCATCACCATCATCACCACCATTATCATCACCATTGCCACCATGATCACCACCATCAACAACATCACCACGATCGTCACCATCACCATCATTTCGCCACCATTACCATCGCCAAGATTATCACTACCAATCATCACCATCATCATCACTCTCACCATCACTCTCACCATCATCACTATTGTCACCTGAAGCATAATCATCACATCACCATTATCACCATCCCTACCATCACCACCATCACTATCACCACCGACACCACCAACACCACCACCATCGCCATCATTATCTTCAGGCTCTCATTACCCCAGGAGGACCTCGTAGATCCACCCTGCCAAGGAGTGTCACCAACTGCCTGTGGCTTTCACCCCTGGAAATATTACTGTTCAAAATTAAGATGTACAAGCCGGGTGTCGGTGGCTCACGCCTGTAATCCTAGCTACTCAGGAGGCTGAGATCTTAGGATCGAGGTTCAAAGCCAGCCCAGGCAGGAAACTCCATGAAACTCTTATCTCCAATAAACCACCAGAAAACCGGAAGAGATCCTGTGGCTCAAGTGGTAGAGCGTTAGCCTTGAGTTGAAGAGCTGAGGGACAGTGCCCAAGCCCAGAGTTCAAGCCCCATGACCAACAAAAAAAAAAAAAATTAAGATGTGCACTATGTACAAAATATGCACTGATTCAAAGACTATAAGAATCTTCCTAAAATAACTGATCAATGATGGTATTTTAGATCTAGTGGACTAAATAAACACTGGAAATCCATTTCACCCCCTCCTCTTTATTTTCTGTTTTGTTCTGGTTTAAACTTCCAGCCTGGGTCTCACCACTTAGCCCTGGCTAGCCTCTCAATCCTCCTGTCTCAGACCTCATGGTGCCTGGATTATCTGTGTGTGCAGTATGCCTGGACCTCATTTTTGCTTTTAAGTGTGACTTCTAGAAAAATTTAAATGACATAGCTAGCTCCAATTCTGCTTCTACTGCAGCACTGGCCTGGCCGGCAGTTACGTGCTTCGAGCACTTTATAGTTGATTTAGTCAATCAGACAAAGTGGGCAGTCTTTGTAGTCAGAAATATTACAAAACAGAGGAAAAGAGCTAGGTACCAGTGGCTTCCGCCTGTAATCCCAGCTACTCAGGAGACTGAGATCTGAGTATCTAGATTCAAAGCCAGCCTGAGCAAGAAATCCATGAAACTCTTATCTCCAATTAACTGCCCCAAATCCAGAAGTGGGGCTATGGCTCAAGTGATGATACAGCACTAGCCATGAGTGAAAAGACTCAGGGACAGCACCCAGGCCCTGAGTTCAAGCCCTATTAATGGTGCACACACATGCACGTACATGTACACACATACACACACACACATACATATAGACACAAAACTAATAAGGAGCAATGTCTGCAGGTAAGATGTGGAGCACTGTCCCACTGTTACAGATGAGAAAGCTGAGCAGGGCTAGGACAGGAGAGCTTGCCCTGAGCGCTACCCAGGGCACTGGGCTTCCTGCTGCTCTCCGCTGGCCTCTTTTCTCTCTGGGTTCTGAGATTCCCTTCAAGATTCTCTCCTGGCCTTAGGCACCATTAAGTAGGCAGTGATCCTCGCTGCCTGCCCCGCTACATTCAGAAGCTGTTCCTGCCCCCAACCCCTTCCCTGCTTCCAGTCAACTATACTCATGCATTGATTCATGCAGCAGGCATACGCTGTTCTTACATTATAGTAGTTTGGTGCAGGAGTTTCAAATTTGAGCGCTTTCATGAAGCTTGGCAGTTGGAACATGCTAGAGCAAGAAGTGCTGAAGTCTTTCTTCGATACAAACTCTGACGGGAGGGTGTACGCATTTGCTGCAGGATACTTAGAAATAATGGTCTTCAGCCTGGCACACTGGAGGGGGAAAGCAAAGGAGGCTGTGTTAGGGGTGCAGAGTCAGCTGAGAGGTAGGCCCCACACCAGGACCTCGGGAACTCTCTGAAAGGTGAGGCTGAGCGCATCATGAAGATAGATGGACCTCTGAAAGTTCAGGCCTACTTTGACTTGTGTAAACTCCTTCATGTTATTCTGCTTCTGAAATAATTTTGCAATTAATGCATTTCCACCCAATTACGCCTGACCTTGCGGCTGCTGGGTAATTTATTCAAGGGAATTTTGTTATTGGTGGTGGTGATGGTTGTGGGGCTTGAACTCATGGCCTGGGCTCTGTCCCTGAGCTCTTGTTTTGTTTTGTTTTGGGCAGTTGTGGGGCTTGACCGCAAGGCCTGGGTGCTGTCCTTGAGCTGTTTTGCACAAGGCTAGTGCTCTACCACTTTAAGCCACAGCTCCACTTCTGGTTTTTGAGTGGTTAATTGGAGATAAAGAGTCTCACGGGACTTTTCTGCCTGGGCTGGCTTTGAACCATGGTCCTTAGATCTCAGCCCTGAGTAGCTAGGATTACAGGTGTAAGCCACTGGTGCCCAAGTAAGTGAATAATTTAGACTTTCACCCCGACCCTGATCTCTCAACCCAAGCCCTCTTCTGAGGGAACCCTCTTGCCTTGCCTCTCAGAGCAACCCTCAGAACATCTTAAAGGCCTGGGGCTGCCCAGTGCACTCTGGCCACCGCACCCCCCCCACGACCATTTCCATGAAACCATACAATGAGTATGCCATTTCAACACAACCAACACCATGCTAAACTATGTTCAGGTAAAAGACAAACAGAATCAATGTTTGCCAGGTGAATGGGGACAAAAGCCATTGAAACTGGCGTTGATAACATCACCTCGCCCACAGAGAGTGTGGCTGGCACTGGAGTCGGAGAAAGCACAAGAAAATGTCCCATCACCCCATCACAGCCTGGGACTTCAAGCTTGGGAACATCACCCTGGACAGGGATCAGGAACGAGATGAACACCGGGAGGTGGGGGGCTGAGAGAGGGCACTGGTCCCTCACCCCACTCCACTCTGTGCTCTGTGGCGATGGTTCTGGGCCTGCTCTATGGACACCCATGGGGGTGGGGGGAGGGTATATGGTGGGTGAGGGCTCACCGCAGAGGAGTGTCCTCAGCCTGGGCCCAACCTGGGCCCAACCTGGGTTCCAGTCCCAACCTGGCCTCCTTCTCATGGCCAGGATTTGTTCCCACGCTGGTAGGTGCCTTGCCTTTGCTCTTTTGACCAACTGTTTTCCAAGTGCTTTTGCTGCGTTTGGTTTTCATGGCCACCCCGTGTGGTGGGTGTTATAAGGAACTCTGCTTTTCAGATGAGGAAACTGAGCTTTTGCAGGTAAAGTGGTATTGGCAACTCTCTCAGCCAGGCAGCTTGCCTCCACCCTGCAGTGGTAACAGGGCAGAGGCACGGCCCTGGACCACAGAAACCTTTTTCCATCATGAAAGTTGTGGGTGTACGTGTGTGTGTGTGTGTGTGTGTGTGTGTGTGTGTGTGTGTGCATGCGCGCGCGTGCGCACCAGCACTAGGGCTCTAGTTCACTTTTACACTCAAGGCTAGTGCTCTACCACTTGAGGCATACCTCCAACTTTTGGCTTGTTTGGTAGTTAATTGGAGATTCAAATCTCATGACCTTTCTGTCCTAGTGGGCTTCAAATCTAGATCCTCCAGATCTCAGCCTCCTGAGTAGCTAGGATTACAGGTGTGAGTCCCAAATGCCAACTGTGACTTTTTTTTTTTTTTTGCCTTAAAAGAATTATTTATTGGGATGGGAAGGTGGCTCAGTGGTAGAGCGCTTGTCTTGCATGCCTGAGGCCCTGGGTTCGATTCCTCAGCACCACATAAGGAGAAAAAGCCGGAAGTGGCACTGTGGCTCAAGTGGTAGAGAGCTAGCCTTGAGCTGAAGAGCCAAGGGACAGCACCCAGGCCCAGAGTTCAGGCCCCCACAACCGGCAAAAAAAAAAAAAAGAATTATTTATTTGGGGGGGAAAATGTTTAACAAAATTCCCCAGTCATAGCAGTTACATCAGATGCTGTAATAGGATTCGTTTCAGAAGACAGCCAAAGCCACACTCACTCACCCACACACCCCACCCTGGTGTGCCTGCCAAACCTGTGGTCTCCAGCCTGGCCACACACGGGCATTTATGAACCTCTTTCTGGCTGGTGTGAACGTCTCCAGGCCCACGCCTGCCACCACGGACATGGAGGAGGGCCTCCCAAGTCCCCACCCACCTGCCTCCCTCGGCCTCCTCCCAGGGAGTCCTGTGAAAAATCCCAGAGGAAGGATCTGGAAGTTATATTCACGAGGTGCTTTCTATCATTTGGGCTTAGAGAGATGACAGGTCCTCTCAAAAGGCTGGGTGTAGCTCTACTGACAGCCATGAGGAAGTTTCGGAGATTTATAGGGCCTCTGAGTTTCTTGGTCAGCCTCACCCTGTAACCATAGCCCTCTGACCATCGGGATTTCTCTCTGGTGCTTTAATTCTCTGAGACAATAGGATGTGGACATGGAGAAGGTGCTAAACGTGAAAGTCACTAGGAAAGGCGTGGAGAATGGCATTTTCTTCCGGGTCAGAAAGGAAATAGGCCAGATGTGGGCATCTCCTACCAGATCGGACCAACCACTTCAGGCCTCTGTCCAGTGATGTAAGAAATTCAGTGAAGTTCCAGAGCTATAGGAGGGAGGGCAGCTCAGGGGCTCCCTTCTTCTGAAGTTGGTTCTAATATATATATATATTTTTGGGGGGGGGTCCAGTTGTAGGGCCTGAACTCTGGGCCAGGGTGCTGTCCCTCAGCTCTTCAGCTCAAGGCAAGCGCTCTACCACTGAGCCACCTTCCCAGCCAGATGGTTCTAATATTTTTTTATTTGAACTCAGGGTTTCATACTTGCTAGGCAGGCACCCTACCATTAAGCCATGCTGCTAGCCCTTCTTTGGTACGGGTTATTCTGAGATAGGGTCTCACCTTTCGCCAGGCACTCACCTGGACTGCCCTCCCCCTAGGGGTCCTGAGTTGGAATGACAGGCCTGTACCACCATGCCTGCCTTCTTTTCAGTTAGACTCTCAAACGTTTTTTTGCGCTAGCTGGCTTGGAATCACAGCCCTCCTGATCATAACGCCCCTCGGAAGTGGGTTGACAGGTATATACCACTGTACATGGTTATCCAGTGAGAAGAGTCTAGAGCTGACTTTGAACTGTGATCCTCAGATCTCACTCTCCTGAGCAGCTAGGCTTACAGGTGTGAGCCACTGGCGCCTGGCTGAATTTTTCTTTTTCTAAAGGCCTAAAGGGCCTGATTAGCCTCAATTGTACTCCAGTCTCCTCTTGAGTCCCTTTTCCCCAAATGGCCCAGCCTTGGAACTTGCAAAGTGGCTGCAGGTAAAGCCTGGCAGGACAGGGACCGTGCGGCTCCCTCCAACGGCTCCCTGTCACCGGGCAGAGGAGCCGCGCTGCCACTGGGCCAGGCTGTCATGTTTATCATGTTTTGCAGTTTCACAGAGTGTTTGACTCACTGCGGTTTGCGGAGTGCCTCCAGGGAGTCTCCGCTTTTATGAGGCAACCAGAACGGAGGGGGACGTGCGCCGGGGCACAGTGAGCCGCCACCGCTGACTCAGGGCCACAGCTTGAGTCTCTCCTCCTAGGCCCGCACTGGGAAACACTTCTTTTCCCAGATTGCTTCTGGGTGTTTTTCTCTAGCGAGAGGTGAGGGGCGGGGGCAGAAAGTTGGCTGGAGGCCTGTCTGCCCTGTGAACTTGCTTGGGGCACATGCAACCTTGGGTGAACTGCAAGCCCTGTTTGACCTTGAATACGACTCTGCCCAAGTCAGCATCCAATACAGAGCAGCTACACTCAGTGTACGTTAAATAGTTCATTTGTGTAGTTTTACAATTTCAATTTCAACCAGGTGCTAGTGGTTCACGCCTGTAATCCTAGCTACTCAGGAGGCTGAGATAGGAAGATCACAGTTTGAAGACAGATTAGATTGACAAATCCAGGAGATTCTTACCTCCAAGTAACCAGCAAAAGCCAGGAGAGGAGGTGTGGCTCAAGTGGAAGAGTACCAGCCTTGAATGGAAATGCCAAGTGGAAGCTCAAGGTCCTGAGTTAAAGCCTTGGTACTGGAACAAAAATATGTGCATGCGCATGTGTGCGTGTATGTGTGTATATACACATGCGCGTGCACGTGTGTGAATTTCTATGTCAGGCATCGTAATAAATCTATTTGAAAGGCTTATTCTACTTAAAGAGACAAGGAGGCACCTATGCTTTGTGACTGTTTGAGTCTGGCTTTGCCTTCTTTCTCTCTTTTCTTCCTTAGTTTGGCTCTTTTCCCTGTCAAGAAAAGGACTACCAGGCTGAGGCTGTGGCTCACTGGGACAGTTTTTGCCGAGCATGCTGGAAGCCCTGGGTTCTAATCTTGCACATGAATGTGCACACGTGCGTGCACACACACACAAAGCCAGGGCCAGGGTCACCTCTTCCTGTAGCTATCTAATTACTAGCACCATCAGGGAGCAAAGCCCCCACAGGGAATAATTCAGGTGCAAAGCCTACTTTTCACTTCCTTCTTCTCAATCACTTGTGTAACCCAATTACTTTACACAAGTATAAAAATCATTGTGGAGCTTGGTGTCATGGCTCGTACCTATAATCCTAGCTACCCAGGAGGCTGAGATCTGAGGATCATGGTTTGAAGCCAGCCCAGGCAGAAAAATCCATGAAACTCTTATCTCCAATTAACCAAGCAAAAAAACCCCCTGGAGCTGTAACTCAAGTGGTAGTGTGCTAGCCTTAAGCAAAAAACCAAAACTAAACAAACAAACCAAAAAAACCCTCAAGGACATGCCCAGATCCAGAGTTCAAGTCTCAGAACTAGAAAAACAAATCATTTTGGTGCCACACATGGGAGAAGACCATCTTGCTGGCCTGGTAAGCTGGGTGGTCACACCGGGGTTTGGATGGCAGGGTCTGAATATCCCTGAGCTGCTCTTGGGCATCACGGGGCGGGGGGGCGGGGGAGTACGATAATACAGCTTAGCACCACAGGGCCCTGTTTACCTATGTGAGATCTGAGATGGGGACTGGGTCTTCATCAGGACCACACAGACCCCGGGAGAGAATGGCCCAGATGGCCAACCTATGACTATGGAGGAAACTACCACCTTACTCCAGAGGAGGGCTCTCACCATGGAAGGAAAAGCGCATGTGCCTTTCTTGGACAGCGAGACGCTGTTGGAGACAGGAGACTGGTGGATGACATTGTAGAACCCAGGACCCGGGCTGTCATCCTGGACGGGAAGAGAAGGAGGCGTCAGGCATGTATGCAGTTCCAGCGTGCTTCACACTAAGTCTGAAATCCCTCGGCTCAGACAGGCATCTGTCATGCCGCCAGAGCTGACAGCGCCGCTTCCCACCAGATGGTGGAGCCGGAATTCCTCCCCAGGCCCAGAGCTGCCAAGGAAAGCCCTGGCTCTTTCCACTACACTGTCCCACATACCAGAACACTGTTGTTTATTTGTGTCATTAGGAAAATGAGCATTAAAAAGTGTGGCTGCCATGCACACCAGCGTGGCCGGCTTTGGGCCAGCCGAGCCCTGGGGAAGGGAAGGGTGACGGATCAGTGTATTAACCACACCCCACCTGACTCAGCTTCCTTCTTGGCCACAGAGACTGCAAGGGAGTGTTTCTGTTTATAAAGCAAAATGAAATAACAACCTTCATCCAAATGGGGCCGGCCCACGGGCCTGCGTGCTCGGTGAGCCTGACGCTGCGCTAGGCGGGGCCGGCAGGAGCTGCTCGCGGAGCAGCATGTGCTGCCGCAGTACACTGGACACCCACCCCATCTTCCTTGGTAGTTCCCAGGGGGACATTGGCGACGGAGGTTGGTCAAAAGTGTCATGAAATAATGAGGGTTCTTCAGGGCTGCCAGAGCTCACGGGCCCACCTTGGTGCCAGGCCAAGCCTGTGAAAACTTGTCTTGTTTGGGCCATCACCCAGCGAGGAAGGAACTGCCACCCTCAGTTTAGGGCCGACCAGTCTGTTCCCCATCCTACTGCTGTAAGCAGGCAGAACCAAGCCCTGGGCTGTGGGGGTGTTACCACTTAAAGGAAACTGAGGCCCAGAACTAGCGCCTACCCCCACCCCCACGAGCTAGAAGCGGTGAACCTTGGCTTTGCATTCAGGAAGCCTGGCTCTAGCCCTGGTTGACTCCAATCTGTCACCTAAGCGCATCTTGTCTCTACCGCTCCTACTGGCTTCTTTAGGGGCAGAAAGCAAGCTTGGGCCATCGCCAGTGCCTTCCAGAACTTTCCATTCTGGCTGGGGCAGATCACCATTCTGGTGGGTGGGATCAGGAGAGCTGGGTCCTGTGCTGTGGGTGATCACAGTCGCTGGTGGGCAGAAGCTGCCTTCCAGGGACCTGGGATGGCCAGCAGGAAGGCCCACTAGAGCCAGGACCCTGGTGTTATGGGTGCTGATGTGAAGATCCATGGGAGAAAAGGACCTTCCTTCCTCCCTCCTTCCCTCTCTTCCTTTTCCTTCCCTCCTTTTTTTTTTTTTTTTGGTTAATACTGAGGTTTGAACTCAGAGCCCTGTGCTCGCTCAGTTTTTTTGCTTATTGCTGGTGCTCTACCACTTGGGCCATACCTCCAAGCCCTGCTTTTTGTTAGTTAATTGAAGATACAAGTCTCATGGACTTTTCTGCCCAGACTAGTCTCAAACCATAATCTTCCAGATCTCAGTCTCCTGAGCAGCTAGGATTACAGGTGTGAGCCTGCAAGCGGTGCTTTCTGTGTGCCCACTCTTTCCCAGGCTCTATGCCTAGGACAATTTGTTTTAGAGATGAGAAGATCCAAGGTCATTCCACTAGTAAAGGTCAGGCAGTCTGACTACAAAGTCTAATATTATTCATTAATTGATTGATTGATTCATCCATCCATCCATCCATCCATTCAAGTGTTATTAGGGATTGAACTCAGGGCCTGGAGCTTGAAAAGCAAGTGCTCTGCCACTTGAACCTTATCCCAACCTTTTTTACTTTTTGTTTGTTTCTCAGATAAGGTCTCCAGCTTTTTGCCCAGGCTGGTCTCAGAGCCCTCATCCTCCTACCTAGCTGGAATTACAGGCGTGTACCACCACACCTGGCCCCAGGGCCTACTCCTAACCACAGAACCAAACTAACAGATGAGATCATATAGGATGAAAGAAAAAAAAATATCTCACTAGGTTATGAATCAGGAATTCTGTTGGGGCCTCAGTTTCTTTGCTTGTAAATCCAATGTGTGGGCCCCTGGAATATCGCTGAGCTTCCTTAGTCCCTAAGTTTAGGGATGATTGCCATAGGCACGGTACATGTGCCTCTTTGAGGTGTGAGCCATGGGCAGAGAAGACCTAGATCTCTAAGCCTTTGATCTGTCCCCACACTCTCAAGCCTGCCATTGGCTCCCAGGAATTTCTGGGCACGTGGATGCCTAGGATAATGCTCGGGACCTTTCCCAGTTACATTAGAATAGCAGATGAACCACAAATATATCCTGTGATATATTTGGGACATACTTAGGCTAAAATAGTTTCTATCTGGCTGGAATTCTAATTCAAATGAACCTCATGTACTTTTTTTTTTTAATTTGCTAAATCCAACAACCCCACTGGGCCCCCACCGTATTTTAACTGCCACACTGTGAGCTGGCCCAAGTCTGAAGCAAACAGGCCGAGAGGCCTGTCACCACGAAGCCTGCAGGAAGGAAGTACCGCCTGTGGCTCTTCATGCATATCCAAAGAGGGCTCCTTAGGCTGCAGCAGGCAGCATGCGAAGGAACTGCTGGAAATAAGTTTTGCTAGTGGTCACCTACCATTGGCCATTAGCCAAAGCTACAGCTGGGAGCAGGAGCTGGTTAACCTCATGAAATACCCAAGTGGGTATTTGAAAGGCTTATTCTACTTCAAGAGACAAGGAGGCACAGATCCAGTAGTTAATCTAACTTAATCCAGGAGTTAAATCCCACTGTGGACAACTCAGCCCTGCTCCTGCAGCTTGGAGAAGCGTGGGGAAGACTTTTCTCTGGAGGGATAACAACTCACACGGTGAGCGTCATATGACTAGCGGCAGGGGTGAGTTTACGCCTCTCAAAGAACATCCCAGAGGTCAAGGATCCAGGTTGGGATGTCTTGGCTGAGATCACCTCAGATGGTAAGGATCAAATAACACCAAAATGGAGGTGGGGCGGGGGAGGGGAAGCAGAGAAGTCATATGGATTATGGATTAGAGCTGGTGACCAGCTCAAGTGGGATCCATGGAATCCCAGTGGGGCCTGCCGCCTCCACTGGCCTCCCAGCCTCCATTACATGAACAGATGCATACGAAGCCGGGTGACCACTGCCATCCTGCTCATACTCACTGCATTGCCTCCAACAGCCTCATGGAGCCAGGAATGCACCCACCTCTCCACATAGGCAAAGACCTTCAAAATGAGCCAGAGAAAGGGGTGACCCCCCCCTTCCCACCCCCCACCACCTCCCCCGGCCAGGTGTGTACAACCTGGCTCCATTTGGATCAAGTGCACTCTGAGAACTCATCAAAAGGATTTGGGTCCCGGGTGGGCAGCCTCTGCATGGGCCCAAGAGTGGAAGAATGACCCACAGCCACCCAATCTCACAGGCTGGAAGAGGTAAGAAGAGAGGGGGAAGGGCCTTGACCAGGTGCCAGGGGCTCACCTGTAATCCTAGCTACTCAGGAAGCTCAGATCTGAGCATGGAGATTTGAAACCAGCCCAGATAGGAAACTCTGTGAATTTTTTTTTTTTTTTTTTGGTTGGTCGTGGCGCTTGATTGAACTCTGGGCTTGGGCACTGTCCCTCAGCTCTTCAGCTCAAGGCAAGTGCTCTACTGCTTGGGCACACAGCACCACTTCCAGTTTTCCAGTTATCTGGAGATAAGAGTCTCACGGAGTATCCTGCCCCAGCTGGCTTTGAACTGCAGTCCTCAGATCTCAGCCTCCTGAGTAGCTAGGATTACAGGTGTGAGCCACTGGTGCTAGGCTTTATGAAATTCTTTTTTTTTTTTTTTGGCCGGTGGTGGGGCTTGAACTCTGGGCCTGGGCGCTGTCCCTCAGCTCTTCAGCTCAAGGCTAGTGCTCTACCACTTGAGCCACAGCGCCACTTCTGGCTTTTTCTGCTTCTGTGGTGCTGAGGAATTGAACCCAGGGCCTCATGCATGCGAGGCAAGCACTCTACCACTGAGCCACCTTCCCAGCCCTTGTGAAATTCTTATCTCCAATGACTCACCCCAAAATCTGGAAGTGAGGCTGTGGCTGAAGTGGTAAAGCACCAGCCTTGAGTGAAAAAAAAAAACTAAAGGATAGCACCTAGGCACTGAGTTCAAGCCCCAGAAATGGCACAAAAAGGGGAGAAGAGGTTGACCACCTCACCCCCAGATCCCCCACGGGCTAGGGGAGATTTCACAGAGTGCAGCCTGGAGCCAGGCTCAGCTTCAGACACTCTCGTTTTTGCCCTGATTCAGAAACGTGGTTGTCAGTCCTTTCGTGTGTATCAAATCACTGATTCATGGAAGCGTTTTCTTTCCTATGAACGAGCTCCGCCCTGTGCTTTAGTCTTAGGGTGTCAGGAGCAGGCACCCACCTGCCCCAGTGACTTCTTCAACCCTACCTAGCTTTCCTAAAGTCACGGGAGTACCAGCCACCAGGCCGGAGGGCTGGCAATGTCCCCCAAGGCTCCAGCCCTCCTGGCCTCAGGACTCCTGTAGGGGCCCTTGGGTTCAACCATCTGAGATTGAGCCAGGGACAGGAGGCCGAGACGGAGGGAGAGGGAGACAGAACTTCCAGGGAGAGGACGTAAGGGGGAAATGGGGAGCCTGTGACCCTGGCAGAGACAAACGGGGACCTGGTCTTTGCCCACTGTTGGCCTTTCTAGGTCAAAGTATAATCAGCTCAGCAGATGGAGCAGCAACATGAATCCAAAGCAGGCCTGCTCACCTGGGAGAGCAGCGGTGAGACTGTTTCCCAGGGTCCCCCCTTTCTTTCTTCAGTAGCCCCATGAGACTCTCCACTCTCCAAGTGAGACGTGGGTGAAGATTCAGCTCCACGGACATCCACGGACCGCCCGCAGTGCACCAGAGCCCTGCTGGGGGCAGGGGCAGGGAGCAGAGCCTCTCAGCTGCTCATAAAGGGGCTGGTGGAGCTGTATCAAAACTCTGGAGGAGCCAGGCATCAGTGGCTCACGCCTGTAATCCTAGCTACTCAGGCGGCTGAGATCTGAGGATTGCAGTTCAAAGCCAGCCCGGGCAGGAAAGACTGTGAGACTCTTATCTCCAATTAACCACCAGAAAACCAGAAGTGGTGCTGTGGCTCAAGTGGTAGAGCTCAGTCCTAGAGTTCAAGCCCCATGACCAACCAAAACAAACAATAACAAAAAAAAAAAAAAAACTGTGGAGGAGGGCTGGGAAGGTGGCTTAGTGGTAGAATGCTTGCCTAGCATGAAGCCCTAGGTTCCATTCCTCAGTATCACATAAACAGAAAAAGCCAGAAGTGGTGCTTTGGCTCAATCAGTACAGTTCTAGCCTTGAGCAAAAGAAACTCAGGAACAGTGTCAGGCCCTGAGTTCAAGCCCCAGGTCTGGGGAAAAAAAACAAAAAACAAAAACTGTGGGGGACACACAGGGAGTATAGCTCATGTTCACTCTAGTATCATGGACTTGGGAAGAACAGATTACTCCACCAGAGTTGGAGCAAATGCACTATAGGATCTTTGCATTGTCTAGCAATTATCTAGCATTGGCTAGGCTGATACTGCCATTTTGAAGAAGAGGAAAGAGATGCAAAGACACCATATGCCAAGGTCCTTAGAGCTACACACAGCCCAGGAATCCATGACCACAACTCAGGGACAGAATCTGGGAGGTAGAGAGAAAATGTCCAGCAGGCTTGAGGGCTGTACCCTGTCCCTCACCATGAAGGTAAAGTAGCCCACAGACTGGTAAATAATTATATATAATTATTGTATGTACAATTATATATATGTATGTATGTATATAAACACTTTTAGGATGTTTTCCTTCTAGCAGCCCAAATTGCTGAGATCTGGAAAGGCCTGTGGTGCCCAGCAGGGAAGGTGAGTGGGAGTCTCAGGGGCACAGGTTCCCAGGGATCACATGGGTCACTGAGGGGCAGGCTGTTGGAGGCTCAGGCTTCCAGAAGGGCGGTAAGGAGATCTAGAGGCTGTTGCTAATTTGTGTTATCTTATGAAATCACTAGGTGGTGGCTCTAACTTCTTGAAGCTCATATCCCTCAGGAAAAATAAGAGCATGGAGCAAGGCCTCATTTTCCTGCCTTTATGACTTGAGACCTTAGAAATTACATAATGCAAACCTGAGGTTTCACATAAGCAAACTGGCACACGGGAAAGTCACGTGGCTGACCTAAAGGTTCCCAGTTACAGAGAGAATAAAACAGTGGGAACTTGGATCTGTGCGTCCCAACATCCCTTCCATGAAATTCCACTCTTTAAACAATGTTACCAGGCACCAGTGGTTCATGCCTGTAGTCCTAGCTACTCAGGAGGCTGAGATCTGAGGATCGAGGTTCAAAGCCAGCCTGGGCAGAAAGCCCATGAAACTCTTATCTCCAATAAACCACTTAGAAAACCCGAAGTGGTGCTGTGGCTCCAGTGGTAAAGCGCTCGCCTTGAGCTAAAGAGTTCAGGGATAGCACCCAGGCCCCACAACCGAGAAAAGGAGTGTTTTTGTTTTTTAAACAAAACGTTTTTAAATACTTAGAGGCTTCTCTCATTTTTAAATGAATGTAACCACATTTGAAAAGCTAGAATCAAACTTCTGAACAGTTTCTCTATTTGATGCTGCCTGTAGATACGGCTGGGTGCCACCCTGGCTCCTTTGGGGAGGGGAAAATGTTAGTATTTTAAATGCCAACTTTCAGTTTCTGGACCTGAGTCTTCAGAATGGAACTCGGTCTGTTTTGCCAGGGCTGGCTGTCATCAACCAAAGGTGTAGCTTTGTGGGTCACAAAGGCAGGTGTGGCGTGGTGTGGATACAGTACAAGATTGACAGAAAGCTAAGCCTGGGCTGAGGTCTAATTCTTTCGATGTTGATTCAGCAGTGATTTATTTAGAGTCTCTTATGTGGCAAACCTGCTGTTAGGTGACAGTGGGTGGACCACTTAGCGCCCCTAAGCCTCCATTTCCTCTTCTGTTAAATTTGGACAATGAACCCTTCCTCTTTGCATAGTATAATCCACAAACGCTTGGCACAGGGTGGGGGGGGCCGGGGGGGGGATCCATCAGTAAGTGGTGACTGCCATTCTTTTGATTGGAAGCTGGGCTGCGGAGACTCTGAAGGTAGAAAGCAGCTTAGCATCAAATTGATAAATGAAGAAGCAGGGAGGAAATGGGGGAGAGGCTTCCAATTCAACTAGGGAAGACTAAAGAAAGAAGAGAAATGCCTGAACAAATATTTATCAACCTACAAATGATTTAAAAATCGTGTGTATGTGTGTGTGTGTGTGTGTGTGTGTGTGTGTGTTACACTATATTCTCTAGTGTTTGCTTCTTAGATCTGGAAAGCACCAGACAGAAGCTCAAGTAACTTAAAGCATCCTCCTGTTGTGTATTCTTGCCCACCGGCAGGTTCCAGGCCAAGGGTAGAGGGGAACTGCCAAGGCGCCAACATCATGCCTCATCTGTCATCTGTGTTCAGGACCCTTTGCCCCCTGGACAAGGTGGAAGGGGTCAGCAAAAGGTAACTGAGGCAGTCACAGCTCCAAAGGAGTGCTGTTCTCCAGGACTTCCTTAAACGGAGGATGAAAATTTTAGACTCTAAAGACACTGGCAAGTTTCTTCTGCCCCCTGCTGGTGAGAGAGGAGAAGGTCAGACCCCAGAGATGCCAAATTAAATTAAGGCCTGGCTAAGGCCCTTGTAGATCAGAAGGGAGCAGCGGCAGAGATCTGAGCAAGGAGGTATGGATGGAGAGAATGCAAACAGGAGTAATAAGACATTGCTTAAGGAAGTTTTTCCAAGAGTTTTTCCTCATCATAAAGGTAATTCTAAATGTATTAGTTCTTTTTTACTTTGTGTTATTTGAAGAAAATTGGGTAATTTCCTCTTGTGCTGAAAGAATTACTTTCTACTTGATACATATAGAATTGGAGAACTTTATATTTTTATTATATATATTTATATTTAAAATATATACTATACTGTTATATTCTATAAACATTAGATAGATTAGAGATAGACAGATAGATACATAGATACATAGGTAGATAAATAGAAGGAATTTTTTTAAATCTCAGGGCATGTCTTTATATGTCTGTAATTTCTGCATTTAGGAAACTGAGGCAGGAAGAATTTGTATTTGAGGCCAGCCTGGCCACATAGAGAGACCCAACCTAAATATATAGACAAACACACACACAAACACACACACACACACACAAACACACACACACACACACAATATTCCCTGTTTTTGACACCTTAGGTCTCCTTGGCTGAAATATCCATTAAGCACCATGCTAGTAAATGCAGAGCCTGAGTTCTACTCCAGTATTGCCCTGCACTTAGTTGGAGGCAGCCATGGATCCCTGGGGACACCACTGCCCCCTACTGTTCGTAGAGAGACAGAACAGCTTGTCTCACAAGGCTACAATCCAGACAAAAAGAACAATGCCCTTACCTTTTTGTGATAAAATCTCTTTGCCTTCACATTAAATCCTTTCTTCTCTGTGTCAGGAGGTACTGCAAATTGGACTTTAGAAGGAATGGAAGACTGTGTTGGATACGCAGCAGTAAAACCTTAAACAGAAGAGAAACTTGCATTTTGACAAGTGATAAACATGAAACCCAATTAGAAAAAACCAACACCCTCCCATTTCTTTTTCTTTTTCTTGTAATAAGTTCTGGGGTTGTCTCTCGCACCCCTGCGGTCTAGCAGCAGTGAACACACTGAAGCCCCTTCAGTCTCAGGATGACAGCCCGGAGGAGCAGGCAGAGGGCGGAGCCAGTACCCGCTTTCCTCAGCTGTCAGTCAAGCATCATGAAGATGGAGAGGGGTAGAAGAAATCCCACTCAAGTGGTAAAGTGCCAGCCTTGAAGGGGAAAGTTAAGGAACAGCACCCAGACCCTGAGTTCAAGCCCAGTAGCTACACACACACACACACACACACACACACACACACACAACTGCTATTCTTGCCAGATACATGGAAATCACACGTCTGCTTTTTCTGTTGTCTAAAAGAGGCTCCCATTCCCCCCTCAACCATTTTTTTGGGGGGACAATCCTCAGGCATTCTCCCTCCCCTGATTTACTCCATTCCCACTGACTCCTGAATGTAGGCCGGGGATACTCTTCTTCCACATGTGATTACACACAACATGCACACGTGTGATTTGAGTTCACCAGACCTTTCTGTAAGACACGCCTCGGTTGTTTGGCAGGCTGATCCTCTTGCTGTGCGGTGGTGGTGTCCATGTTAGCCAAGTGACATTCCGTCACATGACCCTTTGGTTTCCAGAAAACCTCTGCTAACTGCCCTCCTCAACACCTGGAAGGGCAAAACGCAGAGAGGTCCAGCACCACGCCACACTGAGGCCACGGACTCTGCAGGTGGGAATGAGCCATCTTGGGGGACTGCAGTTGAGACCCACCCACTGCTGCACCCACACCCAGGGACCAATCACACAGCACTGCTGTGTGGGAGCAGGGGAGCTCTGCTCACGCTCAGAGTACCTCGTGCAGGCAGTGGAGCTGATGCTTCCAAGTTCAATTTTATATTCTAGATTCTGTTCTATGAAATGCAAAGCTGGGTGCCCCTCTCTCCCCCCAACCCCCCGCACCATTTGTGGCTCATGCCTATAATCCTAACCACTCAGCTGGCTGTGATTTGAGAATTGAGGTTTGAAACCAACCTGAGAACAACTTGAGAGACTGCGTTGGGGATGTGGCTTAGTGGTAGAGTGCTTGCCTAGCATGCATGAGGCCCTGTGTTCAATTCCTCAGTACCACACACAGAGAAAAGGTTGTAGGTGGAGCTATGATTCAAAGTGGTAGCGTGCTAGCCTTGAGCAAAAGCAGCTCAGGGGCAGTGCCCAGGCCCTCAATTTAAGCCCCAGGACTGGCAAGAATAAAAAATTGAGAGACCCTGATGTCCAACTAACCAGCAAAAAATCCAGAAGAGGAAGCTTAGTTCAAGCACTACAGTACCAGTTGTGAGAGAGAGGGAGGGAGAGAGGGAGAGAGGGAGAGAGGGAGAGAGAGACAGAGAGACAGAGAGATCAACTCTGGGACAGCACACAAACCTTGAGTTCAAGTCCCAGTGTCGGCACACACACAGAAGAGTTTAGATCCAGTAAAATCCACTGGTGTGAAGTAGACAATTAAGTTTGGGCAAATATTTGCAGTTGTGTTAAACGCCTTCACAATTAACATGGTGAGTTTATCTGCCACTCCATAAGTTCCCGCGTTCTTTTGCAGTCTTTCCCCTCCCAGCCTTTACATCTGGCAGCCACCAGGGGGCGTCCAGTCACCATGGCGATCCCGCTGCCATGCACACATCTGCCATCATCTGTGACCTGCATCTAAAACCTTAACTGAAACATTCTAATGGCTGCATACTGGTTCCTTGTGCCACTTTAATTTACATGCCTTCACAGGTTTATTTATGTTATGCCCTTTGGTAAAATATGTTCAAATTTGAATATTTATGTGTGTGCTGGAGCTTTGAACTCTGGGCCTCGAACTCTCACTTGGCTTTTTTCACTCAAGGCTGGTGCTCTAACACTTGAGCCATACCTCCAAAGTTCCAAATCTGAACTTTTTAAACAGTTGGATTATTGTTGGGTTGTAAAAGTTCTTAACACATTCTGCATACATGATATATATATATAAATATATATGTATATATATACATACATATATATTTATATATATATATATATATTACTCAGGAGGCTGAGATCTGAGGATCACAGTTCAAATCCAGCCCAGAAACTCTTATCTCCAATAAAACACCAGAAAACCAGAAGTGGCCCTGTGGCTGAAATGGTAGAGTGCTAGCCTTAAGCTGAAGAGCTAAGGGACAGCACTCAAGCCCAGAGTTCAAGCCCCATGACTGACAAAAAACAAAACACACACACACACACATTGTCCTAAGATGTTACTAAGTTAACAAATATACCTCCTGTTTTCTTTGAGAATTTTATAGTTTTAAGCTCTTACATTTAGGCCAAGACTCTTTTTAGAGCTAAATATTGCATATGGTAATGAGGTAAGGGTCAAGTTCATAGTCTTTTTCTTTTTTCTTTCTTTTTGTCAATTGTGGGGCCTGAACTCTGGGCCTGGGCGCTGTCTCTCAGCTCTTTACCTCAAGGCTAATGCTCTACCACTTGAGCCACAGCACCACTTTTGGCTTTTTCTGCTTATGTGGCGCTGAGGAATCAAACCCAGGGCCTCATGCATGCAAGGCAAGCACTCTACCACTGAGCCACCTTCCCAGCCCAAGTTCATGGTCTTTTATAGTTCCCTGCCCCCTAGAGCTAAGGATCTAGCTCAGGGCCTTGCGCTCGCCAGGCAACTGTTCTTCCACTGAGCTAAATCCCCAACCCTTCAAGTGCATTATATTACCCTTGTATACTCAATTATTCTAGCACTGTTTGTTGAAAAGAATACTTTAGCACATCAAAACTCTTACATATGGGTATCTAATGTTAATTTTTGGACAAAAAGTAACTGCTTCCTTCCTTTTATCAATGTATATATTTTCTACAATGTCCTTCTCTCTTGCTATTTTATAAAGTTTCAAACTCTAGTTTAAACTTTTTTTCTAATTTATTTTGACTGTAGGGGTCTTACATTAGCACTTTTTCCTTCTTTCTCTTTTTTGTTTTGGTGTCAATCCTGGGGCTTGAACTGTCCTTGAATTTATTTATTTTTTTGCCAGTCCTGGGACTTGAACTCAGGACCTGGGCACTGTCCCTGAGCTTCTTTTGCTCAAGGCTAGCACTCTGCCATTTGAGCTACAGTGCCACTTCTGGCTTTTTTGTTTCTGTGGTACAGAAGAATGGAGCCCAGAGCTTCATGCATGCTAGACAAGCACTCTACCACTAAGCCACATTCCCAGTCTGTTTTTGTTGTTGTTGTTGTTTGTTTTGGGTGGTTTTTTTTTGTTATTTTTGTTTTTTTGGTCCTGGGGCTTGAACTCTGGGCCTGGGTGCTGTCCCTGAGCTCTTCAGCTCAAGGCTAGTGCTCTACCACTTGAGCCAAAGCATCACTTCCGGTTTTCTGGTGGTTAATTGGAGATAAGAGTCTCCTGGACTTTCTGGCCCGGGCTGGCTTTGAACCATAATCCTCATATCTCAGCCTCCTGAGTAGGATTACAGGTGTGAGCCACCAGTGCCCAACTCCAGCTTGGTTTTTTGTTTTGTTTTGTTTTCATATGAGGATATTGAAAATAGTTTTCAAAGTTACAAAGCAAATATTTGATATGGGCTTTTTTTTTTTTTTTTTTTGGTCATGGGGCTTGAACTCTGGGCTTGGGTACTGTCCCTGTGCTCTTCAGCTCAAGGCGAGCACTCTACCGCTTGAGCCACAGCACCTCTTCCTTTTTTTTTTAAACAAAATTCCCCAGAACAGTTTGAAAATTTGCAGTTCATTGTTGGGCAGTTCTAATAGCCAGAAATTCCCTTCCTGTGTCTGAGCTGCTTCTTTCTTTTTCCTCCCTTCTAATTCCAACCCTTGGAACCAACTAAAAGTAAACCTCATGCTTTTTCTACCTTGATGATTTCCCATAGTTCATATAGTCTCTGTGTGTGTGTGTGTGTGAGAGAGAGAGAGAGAGAAAGAGAAAGAACACGAAAGAGAGAGAAAGAGAAAGAGAGAGGGTTTTGAGGGCTTGAACTCAAGGCCTAGGCTCTGTCCCTTCACTCAGGCTAGTGCTCTACCAGTTGAGCTTCACCTCCACTTCCAGTTTTTTGCTGATTAATTGGAGTTAAGAGTCTCATGGACTTTCCTGCAGCTGGCTCATAGGAAGCTTTGGCTACAGGTGTTGATTGATTTGGGTATAACGTTATCAAGCTTTCCAGGAACTTTCTACACTTTCCAAAGTCCTCCATTTTGTATTTTTCTTAGGCCAAAAAAAAAAGTGTGTCACAGAAGTTGGAAAACAGAACAACAACAACAACAAAAAAAACCACACAAAAACTAGCAACTGGCTGAGGACTCTCTAATTCCAGTCTCAGGCTTTCATGTTACAGCTGGGAACACTGAGGCCCAAGGTACGTTTGCTGCGGAGGGCCAAGGCAACCCCGGGCTGGGCTCAGCCGCTCGCCCGCGGCGGAGCACGCAAAGGCCGAGGCCACTGACCGGGCGGTGGGGCACACTGAGGCACACCCCAGGAAGGACCCCCCACCCAGCTGGGCGCGGGGGTTCTGCACGCACCCGGGGAGCAGAGATCCCAGCCGGCATCCCACGCGCTGCGCCCCGTCCTCTTCCGTCACCGCCACCTCACAGACTCGGCCTCCCACCGAAGCGCCTCCGCGTCGCTATGGCAACCGCCTAACATTGGACGCCGGGAGCCAATGGAATCCTCTGTTATTTTTTTCGGCTAGAAAAGTTATTGACCAATCGTTAGAGGCGTTTCAAAAATCCGCAGGAAAGCAGCAAGTTCTTCCAGGACCTGTGGGTTTGATCCAAGGGATTTCTTAAAAATGTAGGAAAGACCCAAAGCCTTAGGATTTTGCTAAGAAAATAGGAAGGGAGGAAGGGAGGGGCTGGGAAGGTGGCTCAGTGGTAAGCGCTTGCCTTGCATGCCTGAGGCCCTGGGTTTGATTCCTCAGCGCCACATAAGCAGAAAAAACCGGAAGTGG